GAGAACACCTGGGAGCCCATGGAACACCTCACCCATACCGACGCACTCCTCAAGGACATCCACAGCGCGTACCCCAACAAGCCTTCCTCTGTCCCTGTAGCGCCTCCTCTGCGACCTGACCCGACTCGACGCCGCTGCCGCCGCCGCTAAAGGGAGGGGTGATGTTATGGACGACGCGCCCATACCATAAGCTTACCTCATGACAGCACACTGACAGCCGCCAATGTCAAACGCCAATGTCAATGTCAGTGTCAATGTCATTGTCAATGCCACTCCCCCTCTCTCCTCTCATTTCGCCAATCCTCCCGCAATATCGCCACTCCTCCTCTCTCCTCTCATTTCGCCAATCCCCCCTCCGCTTCTCCACACCCCCCACTACTTCCCCATAGCCAGCAGCTGTAGCAACGCTCTCTACGCTCGCCACGCACGCTCTAGGAGCATAGCTGGCGCCCCCCAGTCCCCTCTTGTTGTTGTTCTCTGATCTGTTGGGTTGCCTATCTATAAATAGCCGGCCTCTCTTCGTCCATTCCCTTCCTCCCCAGCAGATCAACACCAGTTCTTCTCATCTCTTGTTCTAGTCCTTGTCTCTTGTTTCGCCAATACAATCTCGCGTCGCCTATCGCTCTCGCCTTGTCTTCTCTACTTCGCTTCCGCCTCAGTCGTCGAGCTCATAACAGTTTGATCTGCTCCAACACTGCGAAGTTCAGAACCCGTCCAGCCCTGCATCCGACCAACCTTTTTTGCCATGTCCCAACCCGAATCCGTACCTTTCACCGCCAAGCAATGGAACGATATGTGCCAAGCCATCGCCGCCTTGCAAAGCCAAAACGCCAACTTCCAGGCCAACCTAGCGCAAGCCCAAGCCAACGCACAAGCTGCCCAGGGCATCGCTGCCCAGGTTCAAGCCGATACGTACACCCGTCCCCAAGTCACCAACCCTGCTCTGGAGCCAAGAACCAGCTCGCCCGAGAAGTTTGATGGTACCCGCAGCAAATTCCGTGGGTGGTTGAACAACATCCGGTTTATGTTTGCTGGGTTGACCGTCAACGAGTTCGATCGTCAGTGGACGCTGATGCGGGACTAGAGGGATGCCGTGTTTGCGGGCAAAGTCTCTGTCGATGAAGCAGGACAGGGCACCGTTGTCGATCATGGCTGAGGTAGGTATAGGGGCGCGGCTGGATGATACCATGATGGTAACGGGGTAGTTGAAGGGTTCAACGGGACCCAGCGCAAGCATGGCGCAGGGGTTAATTTCGGAGTTTTCGACATGGGCAGCGGCTAGGAGGGTCGTGTCGGCTATAACCAAGTCGGGAACCAGGGGGGTGGCCTCTTCCGTTGCGGGAGCTGCGAGGTTAGGAGGCCCAGGGCGGTGTGTGTTGTCCAGTTGCTGGGGCTTACTGCGGCTGGACTTTGGGAAAACCCTGTTCGGTGGAGGGTTCTTTGATGTCGACGTTGGCGGCACAGGTGGTGGTCTTGTTCTTGACGGGGCAGGCCTTCGCAATGTGCCCCGCGCCACCGCAGTAGAGGCAGAGGTTGTTGGAAATGCGGCGTTGGCGTTCCTGAGGGCTCAGAGGGCCGCGGGGACGAGCGCCGTCAATCTGCATAGGCTCGCTGTGGTCGACAGTGGTGGTAGTAGTAAACGAGGTATGGGGAACCGGGAAGGTCTGGCGGCTTCTCTTTCGCTTATGGTGGCGCTCAAACAGTCGGTTATCGCACTGGATAGCCTGCTCCATCACCGCATCAATGGTGGCAGCAGGAGCCATCGTGAGCATCAGGTCTTTGATGTCTTCTTTGAGGCCACGGCGGAAGGTAGCAATCAGGGCCTGGTCGTTCCAGGAGACATCGCATTGTAGCTGGCGGAACTCAGCGATGTACCCGGTTGCTGCACGGGTTTGGCGAAGGTTCTGGAGCTTGTTTTCAGAGTTGCGGACCCTGTTGCTGTCTCCAAAGACAGATTGCATCTGCCCGATAATACTATCGAAGTTCTGAAGGCTGTGATCTCGGCGTTCGACCAGGGGCGCCATCCAGGCTTGCGCAGTGCCGGTGAGGTAGGTGCCAATCGTTTGGATCTTGATGTTGTTGCTGGGGTATCGGACAGGCTGGAGAGCAAACATAAACCGGATGTTGTTCAACCACCCACGGAATTTGCTGCGGGTACCATCAAACTTCTCGGGCGAGCTGATTCTTGGCTCCAGAGCAGGGTTGGTGACTTGGGGACGGGTGTACGTATCGGCTTGAACCTGGGCAGCGATGCTCTGGGCAGCTTGTGCGTCGGCTTGGGCTTGCGCTAGGTTGGCCTGCAAGTTGGCGTTTTGGCTTTGCAAGGCGGTGATGGCTTGGCACATATCGTTCCATTGCTTGGCGGTGAAAGGTACGGATTCGGGTTGGGACATGGCAAAAAAGGTTGGTCGGATGCAGGGCTGGACGGGTTCTGAACTTCGCAGTGTTGGAGCAGATCAAACTGTTATGAGCTCGACGACTGAGGCGGAAGCGAAGTAGAGAAGACAAGGCGAGAGCGATAGGCGAAGCGAGATTGTATTGGCGAAACAAGAGACAAGGACTAGAACAAGAGATGAGAAGAACTGGTGTTGATCTGCTGGGGAGGAAGGGAATGGACGAAGAGAGGCCGGGTATTTATAGATAGGCAACCCAACAGATCAGAGAACAACAACAAGAGGGGACTGGGGGGCGCCAGCTATGCTCCTAGAGCGTGCGTGGCGAGCGTAGAGAGCGTTGCTACAGCTGCTGGCTATGGGGAAGTAGTGGGGGGTGTGGAGAAGCCGAGGGGGGATTGGCGAAATGAGAGGAGGGAGGAGGAGTGGCGATATTGCGGGAGGATTGGCGAAATGAGAGGAGAGAGGGGGAGTGGCATTGACATTGACATTGACAGTGACATTGACACTGACATTGACATTGACATTGGCGTTTGACATTTGGCGGTTGACATTGGCGGCTGTCAGTAGGTAAGCTTATGGTATGGGCGCGTCGTCCATAACATTTATAGATAAACAACCCAGCAGATCAAAGACAACAACAACAAGCGGGGACTGGGTGGGCACCAGCTATGCTCCCTAGCCTAGAGCGAGCGTAGCAGGTGTAGAGAGCAAGCTACAGCTGCTGGCTGTGGAGAAGTACTGGGAGGGTTGACAAATGGCCCAAGATTGGCTCACAGATGAGCGGGGTAGAGGAGGAGCGGCGAATGGGGAATTGGCGGACGAGAGGAGAGCAGGGGATTGGCGAAATGAGAGGGGAAGGCATTGACATTGACATTGACATTGACACTGACATTGACATTGGCGTTTGACATTGGCGGCTGTTAGTGTGCTGTCATGAGGTGAGCTTATGGTATGGGCACGTCGTCCATAACACTAGTGTCATCTTTGCCAAGAAGGAAGATGGCGGACTACGTATCTGTTGGGACTACCGAGGTCTCAACTCTGTAACCAAGAAAGATCATACTCCTTAACCCAACATTCGCGAGATGGGGGAAGAAATCTAAGGTTGTAAATGGTTTATGCTTATCGACATTCAAGAAGCATACCATCATCTCCCCAAACGAAAAAAAGATCGAGAAGAAACGGCAAAGAACTCGCTTCGGACATTTCAAATATTTCGTTGTGCCGTTCGGGCTTACCAACGCACCTGCCGCATTTCAACGTCTTATGAATAAGACCTTCCACAAAGACTACGACAAATTCCTTGCTACATATTTGGACAACATTTTCATTTTCTCGAAAACTCTAGCTGAACATAGGGAACACGCTGATCGCATCCTGAAGAAAATTGATGAACACCCTCTTTTCATCAAGCCTTCACAGTGCGTATGGGCTAAAGAAGGACTCAAATGGTGTGGATATATTGTCGGAAGACATAGTGTTCGCATCGCGCCCTCGAAAATCCAAGCTATCAAGGATTGGGCTACTCCAAAGTCAACAAAAGGAGTTCAAAGCTTTCTCGGGTTCACAAACTACTTCCTCGACTTCGTACAAGGTTATTCGGACATCGCTCTGCCCCTATCAAGCGTTCAATCTTCGAAAGTCAAATTTCGATGGGGTCCTGAGCAACAGGAGGCATTTCAAAAGTTGAAAGAAGCGTTGATCGATGCGCCTACCCTAGCAACAATCGATGAAATCAAGCCGATTTACATCTATACCGACTAATCAGGCTACGCTATTGCTGGCTGGATTGGACAACCTTCTGGCGATGAAACGATCCCTACGAATCTGCCTACTCTTGTCGGACAATGGAAGGAGTTACCGCGGCTCCGGCCTGTGGTCTTCTTCTCTAGAAAGATGAAGGACGCAGAAACTCGATATCCTACGCACGAACAGGAGTTCTTAGCTCTTGTCAGGATGTTGGTCGCCAACCGACCATATCTCATCGGTCTTTACTTCCGATTTTTTAAGGATCACAAGGGACTCGAATTCATCCAAACGCAACCCCATTTGAGCAGAAGACAACCCAATTGGGTGGAGAAGCTACAAGAATATGATTTCGACATCCAGTATGTACCTGGACGATGGAATCATATCGCCGACATGCTCTCCCGCAATCCAATCTATGCGCCTCGGTGTGTAGATTGTCAACGACGCCTCAACATGCATACGCAAATCAGCAACATGCTTGCCGGTGAACCTTCCTCCCACGCTACGACAGACGATCCACAAAACTCACCTACTTGCTGAGAAGAAGAATGGAGAAAGGTGCTATGCGAAAATCCATATTCGGATTATCTCGATGATATTTCTCAAAAGCCTCGACACCAGAAAACTTGAAGAGAACTCCGTTATACGTTTGAAAATGGAATAGTACGACACGAAGGACGCTTATACGTTCCTGAAGACATTCGCCCAAAGATCTTACGGAAATTTCATGACGAACTCACCACTGGAGGACATCTTGGTGTTAAGAAGACTGTTGCAAGAATTCTTACGGAATACTACTGGCCTACCGTATGCTCCGACGTTCTCAAATACGTTGGAACTTGCAAATCCTGTCGACAATTCAAACCTGGCCATTGTCGATACAGATTTCTTCGACCTCTTCCTCTACTTCTGCAAAGATGGCACACGGTTGGATTCGATATTTTCACCGTAGACAGGATAAACTCTTGTTTCGTTTGCATCGATTACCTTTCCGGACGTGTGATCCTGACATCAATCAAGAAATATCAAACCGGATTCCGGCCGATACCCTGTGGCCCACGCCTCCATTTCTTATGTATCCATCAACTCATTCGATATACCCATGTTCATATCTGAGGAGGGAAGCCTTCAGCTGTGGTCGCCAGCACTGCTGTTTCCACTGATGCTCTGCTACCATTGCTGGATCCGCCCGATGATCGCAATATGATCGAATTGCTGGTAGAGACCACTCCGGTCATCGATGGATCCAGCAACAAAGCATCTTCCGGGTCGACCTTGGCTCCGTAATCCAGAAGGGTTTTACAGGTTTCAATTTGATCAAAGAGAGCACTTAAGTGCAATGCTGTCCCCTTTCTCAAGGCGTGTGTGATCCCCTCCAATGCTGAGGATGAAGCGTCTTCGAAGCAGGAAAGCAAGATCTGCCGCCAGCCAACAAACGGCGTTCCGTCAGTCAAGCTCGCTTCTGGCACGTCTAAGCACTCAGCCTTGTGGTTTGCGCCTAATTTGAGCAATGCGCCGGCGGTGTTTTGGCGTCCGCCGATTACGGCAAAATGGAGCGGCGATAACTTATCCTCTGTCAGTGCCTCGATCCGCGCCCCTTTGGCGATCAAAGCATGGCAAATTTCGGTGTGTCCATGATTAGCAGCGAGATGAAGAGGAGTGCGGCCAAATTCCATGGTAGCCTCAATGTTCGCTCCCAATGAAAGGAGAGCGCGGGACGTTTCAACGTGTCCCCTTGAGGCTGCAATATGAAGAGGCGTGGCACCGTGTTTGCTGGGGGCGTTCACATCAGCTGCCAGCCGTACTATGAGATCGAGGCACAGGGTGGCTTGTCCTTCTCTGGCAGCCGCGTGCAAAAGAGCGGTTAAATCAAGAGCGGGCTTCAGCCGGTGAGGTTTTCCGATTGTTTCCACCTCCGGTGTAGACGGCTGCCGCGTAGGGGTCGGTTGATGTGATGTCCCATTTGATGGGAGTGCCGTTTGCGCATTATTGTTCTGGGTGGTTCCACGCACAACCGCCTCCGGCGAACGTCGAATTCCGTGTGGACTTGCTTCCGCTGTTATGGGCGGCGGCCTTGGAGCCAATTCGGCGAATTCGATGAAGGAGTATGAGGGTAACGATGTGTCACTATCAGAACGATGCGCAGCTTCTCATCGAAAGTGAGAGTCAATGCATTAGAAATGGGCAGGCTCTGATGACAAGGTGAACAGTCTCCATCGGGCTTACCCAATTCCGAAGGTCCAGATCCGCTATTGTGCGCCTCCGATAAGTTGGTTCCAATCAGAGGTTTCGGAGCCCTCACGACTGACGAGAACTCTGGTCTGCGCTCAGGCTCCTGATGCCAACATGATTCTCTCAAAGCCCACAAAATGTCCGAACAGTGAGGCCGTTCGGGCCTTTCGGGACGTACGCCACGTCGGATCAGATCAATCAGGACGCTGTCGTGAACCACCTCGGCGAATGGCACATCCTCTGATGCGATTTCATAGCAGAGCATCCCGAATGCGTAGACGTCCGTTTTGTTGCTGATTGGCTTCCCATTGAGTCGTTCTGGAGCTGCCCAGCGAAGAGTGGCGATGTTCGTGTTCTGTACCGCATTCATTGAGGCCACCATCGTTTTGCTTCTACTAAATCCAAAGTCGCTGACTTTCGGTGTCCCCTTTTCGTCAACAAGCACGTTCGTGGCTTTCAAATCACCGTGCACAACCTCACGGCTGTGAAGGTATTGCATAGCCATCGTAGAGCAGTTGCAAACCTTGCTCAGGGTGCTTCTCAATATGCTGTCAATCCAAATGCGATGTTGGGGCACAAGTAACTGGACTAGGCTCAAATGACCAAGACCAGCGCATACCTGCAAAAGAGTCCCAGACATCAATGGGCACACCATGAATGGCGGATGTGCTGATACCGACGCTCCATAGAGCTCGAGGACATGTGCGTGACAAAGGGTGTACCATATACCCACTTCCCTCGCAAAGTCTTTCCGATGCCTCTCTGTAACACAGTTGGCCAGAAGCTGCTTCACGACCACGGCCAAGCCAGACTCCCCGAGAAACCCTCCCAAACCCTCCTCTTGCAATCTCATCCTGGACTTCCACCTCCCACGTCGTGATAGCCCAGTCTGGAACAACGTCAGGGCCAACATTCCCACACAGAGACGCGAGAAGTCCATACGAATTCTTCTCAAACTTTTTCTCGGTCTCTTCTTTCAGCTTGGACTCCACTTTTTTGAGAGCCAGCATTGCGTCCAAGAACTGCCCAGTGGAATTTAAATCAGTCGACAACTTCAAGGCTGAATTATTCGGGTAAGATTTCCTACTTGACTTTGCTGCAACTCCATGGCCAGAAGCATCTTCTGCTGATTTTGCATGAGGTCCTCAAGGAACCTCCTGTACTCGTCCTGATCCGCTTTCGCATCTGCTTCATCCTGCCTTGCCACGTCATCCGATGTGCCCATCACCTCGACAATGTTAACGTTCAGGCTGACTAACAGGCTGGAGTGGAGGTTCGTTAAATCGCTATTGAAATCTACGATTTCCTGATCGATCGAGGCGGCCGCCATGATGTCTTTGAAGAATCGTCCCGGACCAGTAGTCTTCGTTCTCAGATGGCGCTCGATCTCTAAGAAAAGGACTGAAAGCGCCTTCACGTGCCGTTGTAGAACCTCGTTGCTGGTATAAAGTCCTGCATCCTTGCCTAGGTTCGATAGTGCGGACGCAAAGTTGAACCCGGTCCGCGAGGCGCTTAAAACGACGGCTGTTGCGCTGAGCAAGTTCCACGGTTTGCTGAATGCGGACCCCACACTTGACGGTCTCCAAAAGCACTCCAACTGGACCACAAGTGACCACGTCGAGGACAGCTTTGATAGGCCCCGCCTTGACGACATCAACAATGGTCCCCGTCGCGTCCATGGTGGCGGTGGCGGGCGGGAGTCGGATGCCATGGGAAGATGGGAGGGCGGACGATGGTGGGAAGTTGGGAAAGACGCGTCTTTTGACAGAGTGGCAGCATTTGAATGGATATACAGTACATGCACCCCCACATCGACCAACCGGGCCACACGTCTCCATGAGATAATCAAGCCATAGATAACACTTGATAAATGAACGTTGTCTCAATGAGAACATATGCTCCCCACACATCTCCACGCGTTAATCAACCGCTAACCATCTTCAGGATCCAAAACCAATGGTTGGTTGATGTTTTCCCTCGCGTTCCCAGAACAACACAACATTGCACATTGACATCAACACACACGATAACAACAACAACACAACACTCACAATCTGTAAACATGCAGTCCGCAGGAGGTGCTGGTGACGGTGCTGGGGGTGCTGGGGCTAGCAGTAGCGCCACTACCGCAGTGCAGGACTTTGGCCGCCAACAGTGGTAGTTCGGAAAGGAGATGCTGGCAATGACCATCGCACTCTTCCGATACCTGTGGTGCATGGGATTTGCGCCACGGAACCTGACGGTAGATGGCTTGGAGCTGTGGTGGTGGAGGATGGCAGACGTCCAACACATCGAAAACTTGGACCGTATGTCTCGCTCTGCCTCGGCTTTCGGAATTACTTGGATCGAAAACGCGGCTAGGGTCAGGGAGCAAATACGCCATCCAGAGACCGGTAGAATGAGGACGGTTCAGACCCGAGGTGTCTCGCTTCGAAAGGGAGCATGCGGAGGTAAGGCTTTTTTGGTCATGGCTTTTTTTTGGGGGTTTCTGCTCTGTGGTCATTCTTCATTATATGTGCCGCGTTTTGGCCTAAAACCCACGATCGTGATACTTTGCTTGTTTGTCCTCGGCTTCCCGCAGTTTCTGCTGCACTATGAGTTCAATGGATCGGTATGCCTCAGCACGCTTCTCCATCTGTACAATGAGCTCACATCGTGACTTATGCAAGAATGGGATCGACGTATCGTCCATACGTTGGAACACCTTTGCGTCAACTTGCCAATGCATCGGCGCCTGCGGAATTCTACCCAAATCAACCTCGAAAGGGCAGTATCCGGTGCTGTTCTGCGTACCGTTGTAGGCAAACTCCAACATCGTCAGTTTGTCAACCCAATCGTCTCCCTTTACATTAAGGTACGGTTTAATCATCTTCTTCAAGATAGAGATACACCGTCCGACCTTTCCGTCCGTCTGTTGGTGTTGCGCCGTGCTCAAGCTCTGCTTAGAGCCCAACAACGATCGAAACACCTTCCAAAAGTCTGCCAGGGAGCGGAGATCTCGATCTCCGACGATCACAGCTGCAGTACCTGTATAGCACCATACCTCACGGAAGTAAAGATGGGCCAACACCTCGGCAGTTATCGTGGATGCCGCAGGTATAAAGTATGCGCGCCCTGACAGATAGTCGATGAAGACAATAATACTGGCGTATAACGCATCACTATGCACCTTCCCCCACGCTCGATGCTCGATCTCCGACGATCACAGCTGCGGTACCTGTATGGCGCCATACCTCACGGAAGTAAAGATGGGCCAACTCCTCGGCAGTTATCGTGCATGCCGCAGGTATAAAGTATGCGCGCCCTGACAGATAGTCGATGAAGACAATAATACTGTCGTAAAACGCATCACTAGGCACCTTCCCCCCCCACGACCGTGTTATTGGCATCGAGACAGGGTCCATACCCATTGTGTGCCAATGTCGGTCAGGTACTGGGAGCAAACGAAGTAAGCCAACACGCTTATTCTTTGGCGACTTGCACCTTTGGCAAGACCCACAAGTCTTGATGTACCCTCTCAAGTCTGCGTCCATATTGGGCCAGTAAAACTCACGTAGGAGCTTGCCCAATGTACCTTGTACCCCCGTATGCGAGCCAGAGAGCAACGAGTCATGGTACGCCTGCAATACAGTCCCTCGTAAAGCAGCTGGCACGTAGAACCTATTGTGGTACAGTAAACGACCAGGCTCATCGATCGAGAAACGTTGATCGAATGTAGACTGTTTTTCCTTTGGCTGTGACAACGCATCTTTCCGTGAAGCGAAGTACTCATCAGCCTCCAAGGTTCGTATCCAATCCTCAAGCGTAACATTCCCCAAAGGAATATACTCGACGGACATCCCCATGGCCGCAGCGATTTCCACTCGCTTGTTATACTCGGCGCAGCGAGGAGTGTAATAAGGATTATGACTCAACACATCCGCGACGGTGTTCCAACAACCAAGTTGATATTCAATATCAAATTTGAATTGTTGCAGGAATTCAACCCATCGTGCTTGGCAATGGCTCAGGAAGGGCTGTGTCTGCAGGGAGACCAAACTAGCGTGATCGGTGAACGCGTGAAACGGGCGGGTCATTCTTCCGATCCTGCAAGTAATGCCTGTTCGCCTTGCATATGCTAACCATAGCTAATAGCTCTTGTTCGTGCACATGTGTCAGCAAGTAGCATCTTCCGCCCAAAGAAAGCTATTGGCTTTAACGGTGGCAGGTTCTTAAATCCCTTCACTGAGGTAGGCAACGGTGATGGGTAATGCTCCGATGAATCCGCTGGCTGGGCGAGCCATCCGCCTATCGCAAAACCCAATGCATCTGTGAACACCTATAAATCTCGCTCCGGGTTGTAAGACGCGAGCGTAGGAGCTGTGATAATAGCTTCCTTCAGATTAACAAAAGCTTGTTCTTCGACATTGCCCCAGTGCCAAGGCCTTTTGCCCGACTGTAGCTCTGTCAATGGATACGCGATGTATGCATAATGATCGACATATTGACTCGGTAATTTCTCAGCCCTAAGAAAGACTGAAGCTCTTTCTGTTTCGTAGGACGTGCAAAGTTTCACACGGCGTCCAATTTCGAGGGTGCAATGGCCATTGCCTCTTCTCCCAGGAGATGACCGCAGAATTCAAGCTCCTTCTGCATCCATTTGCACTTGGACGGCTTAACATAAAGTTTGTGCTTGGCGAGAACAGCCAAAACGCTATCCACATGAGCGATATGCTCCTCGGCCGTTTCCGAGAAGATTAAGATATCATCCAGGTAAGATATGACAAACTCATCGTACATCTTGCCCAATATCTTATTGGTTAACCTTTGGAACGTTGCTGGCGCATTTGTCAATCCAAATGGCATAACCAAGTACTCGAAATGACCAAACCGCGTCCGAAACGCTGTTTTGTCTCTATCAGCCTTGCGAACCAAGAGGCGGTGATACGCATCTTTGATATTCAACAAAGACTTGAACTTCTTTCCACGTACCCGATCCCGCATCTCTGCAAGATTTGGAAACGGCGTACGAGCCTTTATCGTTGCTTTATTCAACCCACGATACTCGATGCACATGCGGAGACTGCCATCCTTTTTCTTAGCAAATAACACTGCCGCGCCCCATGGGCTCTGCGAGTGTTGAATCCAACCGCGCTCGAGCATGAGAGTAACCTTCTCATTCAGCTCTTTGAGTTTGGCTTCGCTCATATGCCGTAAAGGATTAAAGACTGGTTCGGTACCAGGCTCCACCTAGTGGAACGACCGATACGTCGCAACCACCTTGCTTTTCGCACCTGGATGGTTAAACAAACCTGCGTAACTCATAGTTTGCCATCCATACCTTACTCTTTCGGTATATCAACATCTTGAGAGTATACGTTCGACGGTCAACAGGTAGTCGACACAAACGCCTGTTTACTAGTAGCCAATTAGTAACCCGTTTGTGGATTGGAAATCTACCCCAGTAATTCGATCCACTTCCAAACTCGGAAACCTCGTAGAGCACACTTTGCTTGAAGACTTGTGAAAGTTTCAAAGAGATTCGACCTACGGATATGGAAATATCGAAAAACGCGCTAAATCGTCTAACCTCCGTGTAGCAAAACTATCACAGTTTTGACCGAAACGACCCCCGATAAGGTTCTTCCCGATCTAGAGAATTACCTTGAATTTACCTGAACGTTTTGGGATTTTTGAATCACGGCAAAACAAGTAATCTGTCATCGCCTTCGTCATTAATTCGATACTTAAGCAAAAACGGGCGGATAGGAAAAGTCTTTCGGTTTTGGGACAGAGCTAAGCCATTAGGGTACTTCTTGATCCTCTCAAAGGCCTCTTTAAACTGATAGCTTCAGATGCTGTCTAGGATCACCGTAGCCAAAACCCGCCGACATCGGACACGGTGGATTTTGGGGATTTTTCGCTCAAAAGGCGGGAAAATCTATGCCCGAATTTTGGTTATTGCATACGGCATTTACCTGATTCGAGAACCTAGTTGTTTGTGTGTATTTGCTCAAGGTACTGAGCTATACAACATCAACGGAGTACCTCTGTCCGCTTCCTGGATGTATTCGTCGTTGTTTGAGGTTATGCGAGCTGAAAACGAGATTACACTGGCCAGAAGGTCGTCATCAGTACATCAACGGGTAGTACAGTTACCAGGAGTGGGGAAACTACTCCTGGGGGTACAGCTGCTACTACTGAGATCGTTGAGGAGCCGGAGACTTCTGTGGACGAACCTCGTGTTGAAGTTCGCCTGCCTCTTCCTCTTCGAACAACGGGACCTGTTCCAATGGAGGGTATCCAGGTCGGTGGACCTCCTCCGCCTCCTGCTGGTCACCGGCCCGCTACGGCTATGTTGACGATCTCCGTAGGGGAGCTCAATGCCCAAATGAAGACTGCTGCGGCTGCCGCTCGAGCAGAAGTTCGCGATCAACATGCCGAGGAACATCAGGCTCAACAGGATCGTTTGCGAGCTACGTTGGAGCGTGACTCCACAATGCGCCGTGATGTGCTGCAGGTTGGGTTGGTGGATCCATTCTATATCAAGCAGCGTAGACACCATGGTACATGGATCTTGCAGCATCCATTTAATGGCAAACGGCGCGAGGCCACTTTTGTCGACACGTTTTTGCAGAAGCATACGGAATTCATGGTTACTTTTGGTCTTCCGATTGACGACTTCAAGTACATGCAGAAGGTCTCGAGCTCGCTTGAAGGCGACGCACGTACCTGGTTCGACACCGCATGCAGGCTTGACATGCGGAAAGAGGATTTTGAGACGGCTTTCAAACTAGCCTTCTATCCTACAAACACGAAAACAAACGCGCTCAATGCTCTGGAGCGTATGACGTTTCATAAGTCGATGGATTCATACGTAACGGAATTCAAACGTATCGTTGCCGAGGCACAGCGCAACCTGGAGGTTATCAGTCTGGACGATTTGATTAACCTGTTTCTTTGAGGTCTTACTCACAATAGGACCAATACCGTCGGCTATGAGATCGCCCAGTCGTTATTGCATACGATGGTTGATTATAGGGAGCAACACCCTCTGCTCGCATTTCCATTGATTCGTTTGATGGATCGTGCGCTTAGTTTGTTTGCTGTACGTCGTCTCGCCAATAAGGGGACCGACTCAAGCGATAACGCGGTTGCTTCTGGTAGTAGTGCGCCTAAACGTGCTAATGTCTCTTCTGCCGTGGGTACTGCGGGCAAGAAGGGGGGAAAGCTAAAAAGGCAGAAGCTGCTGAACCTTATGCACACCCAGACCTCTCGCACATGAAGTGTTTCGATTGTAACGAGATGGGTCATTGTGCGCGAGATTGTCCCAAAAAGAAGAAGGATAAGAAGTCCGACGAGGCTAAGGATAAGCCGCGTTGGGATGCTGGTCAGAAAGAGGGTTTTCAGTAGAGACGTTTAATAAAGACACCGTTTATTCGTCTCATTGTGCAATGGTGTCCATTGAGGAGGAACTTGAGGCTATACACCCGGAGTCCGCTGATGGTATACTGGTTGATTGTAGCAATACATCTGCTGCGGGGGCGCGCCTGTGCCGGCCAGATGAGACTGAAACCGTTTTGAAGACTAGGCCTGAAGCACTGCAATTGCAACCCGATGCGTTGATCGCACGATGTGCATTTGTAGTTCATGGCAAGTTGAATGGCAAGTTTTGTCGTATTCTGATCGATACGGGATGCGCAACACTGATGGTACGTCAGGGATGGGTGTCGAAACATGGTTTCCAAACCTATAACCCTAAACTGCCCATTGATGTCGCCTGGGGCGACGACGGCCATACATTCAATGCCAACAAATTATTTTGTGGCGATCTACAGTTGTGGGGAGATGGACGACACCATTCCAGAGACAAGCTTCCATTTGTGGTCGCTCCTCTGCGGGTAGATGTTATCCTCAGATTGCCATGGATCTATATGCTTGACGATGTTCGTTTCGAGCACATAGAGGATGAGATTCCTGTTCTACGATTCCGTACAGATGAAGTTGAACACACCCTAGTTGCCAGACCAGTAACTAGG